CGTCAAGGGCGGCGAGCGTCAGGCCAGTGTGTGCCGCGACTTCGGCGTGCCGGGCGGCACGCTGCGCGGCTGGCTCAAGGACGAGCCCAAACTGCGCTGGTTCCTGGACCAGCTGGGCGGCGAGGTGGGCACGCAGCGCAAGAAGATGCGACTGGCCAACGAGGAGGAGATCGACCGCGCGGTCTACTCGTGGTTCCTCACGCTGCGCCAGCACGGCGTGCCGCTGTCGGGGCCCATCATCCAGGCGCAGGCGGAGGCCTTCGCACGCCAGATCTATGGGCCTGAGTGTACCTTCAAGGCCAGCCACGGCTGGTTCTGGCGCTGGCAGAAGCGCCACGGCATCTCCAGCCAGCGCTTCTACGGCGAGGCCGGCCCCCCAGTCCCGGGCCCCGCGCCTGGCCCGCCCGTCAAGGAGGAGCCCGCGATGCCCCCTGGCGCCGGTCCCCTGCCGGATCGGGCTTCGGCCCCGCCGCCTCCCGCCGAGGGCGGCTATGGCGATGAGCAGATCTACAACGCCAACGTCACCGGCCTCTACTGGAAGCTGCTCCCGGAGCAGGGAGCGCCCCTGGGTGCAGGGAACCCTGGGGCTGGGAGCTGCGGCCGGCGCTGGCGGGGCGACCGGGTGACGGTTCTTCTAGCCGCCAACCTGACCGGCAGCCACAAGCTGAAACCGCTGGTAATCGGGCACTTGCCCGATCCGCCCAGCCTGCGCCACCACAACCAGGACAAGTTCCCGGCCTCCTACCGTTACAGCCCTGACGCCTGGCTCAGCCGCCCACTACTGCGGGGCTGGTTCTTTGAGGAATTTGTGCCTGGTGTCAAGCGCTACCTGCGCCGAAGCTGTCTGCAGCAGAAGGCTGTGTTGCTGGTTGCCCACCCGCCCTGCCCAAGCCCAGCCGCCAGGATGCCTGTCCTGGAGGAGAGCGAGGAGACCCCCATGCGGTGCCGGCCTGAACCCCTCGGCCCCCCTGAGGAGCTGCAGACCCCGGACGGCGCAGTGCGTGTGCTGTTCCTGTCCAAGGGCAGCAGCCGAGCGCACATCCCGGCACCACTAGAGCAGGGTGTGGTGGTTGCTTTCAAACAGCTGTACAAGCGGGAGCTGCTGCGGCTGGCTGTGTCCTGTGCCAGCGGCTCCCCGCTGGACTTTATGCGCAGCTTCATGCTCAAGGACATGCTCTACCTGGCTGGCCTCTCCTGGGACCTGGTGCAGGCAGGCAGCATCGAGCGCTGCTGGCTGCTGGGCTTGCGGGCTGCCTTTGAGCCCCGACCGACTGAGGACAGCCATGGGCAGCCAGCCTGCCAGGCTGAGGAAGCAGCTGAGCACAGCAGGGTGATCAGTGACCTCACTCATTTGGCCGCTCTGGCCTGCAAGTGCTTGGCCCCTGAGGAGGTTGCAGAGTGGCTGCACCTGGATGATGATGGGGGCCTGCCAGAGGGCTGCAGGGAGGAGGCGGGCCCTGCCCTGCCCCCTACACTGACCTCTGCAGCCCCTCCACCCCCAGCCAGCCTGCCCTCTGGCATGGGGGGCGGAGAGGAGGAGGAAGAGGCCACGGAGTATGGAGGGGCCTCGGTGCCCACTGCTGGGGAGGCTGTCCGGGGGCTGGAGGTAGCCTTGCGGTGGCTGGAGAGCCAGGACCCTGAAGAGGTGGGGCCGCTGAGGCTGGTACAGCTGCGTTCACTCATCAGCATGGCCCGGAGGCTGGGGCGCATCCGGCGCCCCCCAGCAGTCTCCGGTGATGGCGTGTGACCAAGCTGGCCCGGTGGCCTTTCTCCTGCTGCACTTGGAGGGAGGGGACACGCAGTCTCCCATCTCCCTTCCCCCTGAGGTGACCCAGCCCACGGCTACAAGGGGTTACAGGAATCCAAGTCCCGCCTGGCTTGGTGAGAGGTCATTCTGTCCCACTGGTCCCCCAGTCTCCTGGGTGAATAGCTGGAAGAGAGGTCCCTAGCCCATGCTCCTCCTGGGGCAAGCGCACACATGTCCCCTCGAGCACTCGGGCACACGAGGCACAGCACCTCTCAGAGAGCAGGTAGCTGTGTTCCTGCACTGGCCCCTGTGGGGCTGGGCCTCCCGCGCCCTCTGCCCATAGGAGCACTAGACAAGACCCTGATGCTCCTGTCTGGAGTCCTGGTGCCGTGTGGTCCCTGTGCCACTGTGTGAGCATCTCAGTGGGGAAGCACACCACTTGGTTTTATTTTTTTTAACACATTAAATCAGCTTTTAAAGATACTCCTCAGAGGGGGCCATGAGAGCAGGGGCGGGGTGGGGTGGTCTCGCGGCCGCTCCACCATTGCTCTGAAGACCAGAGGCCAGCATGGTGTAGGTCTCTAGCGTTGGATTGGGAGGGGAGGATGGAGCCCAGAACTGTGGGTTTTCCTGAGATTCTGGATGCAGCAGGGGTATAGATTTCTGTTCTCTTGGGTTTTCTGTTTTCCTTAAGAAAATTCTGAACAGATGTCTTATTCCATGAGGTTGGTGAGCGTCTGGATTTGGGTCCTGGTAACTTGACCAATGTCAGGACCGACTCCTCTGACTTCCCATCAACCACAGGCCACTTTTTCCAGCCCCAGGGCCTACCGGAGAACCTGGCACTGATAACTTCCAGGGCAACCAGCAGTGCCTTAGTGCTGCTCTCCATGAGCTCCTCCTGCCCAATGCCACCCTCAAACTTTCCCAGCCTTCCTTGGCACTGCCAGGGGTGTAGCTGATGAGCTGCTTCTGGGTGGCCCAGTTTGAAAGAGGGCGGAAAGGGCTCCAGTGATTCTAGCCAGTTCTAGATCCAGAGTCCTGCTGGTGGTCTGGAGCCAACAGGTGCCTATACCTCTCAGGGTAGGTGTGGGTGGCTTTTGCAGAGATGCTGCCCAGAGCTCTTGTGAGAGGCAGGGGGCCACTCTGAGGAGGCTGCTTGCCTCCAGGTGCTCCCTTGTCCTCATTTGCCCCCAGTGTCTTCCTAGTGGTTCAAGCCTTGAAAACATGGTGAGTGCCAGGGGCTTGCATTGCATGGTGTTTTCAGGGAAGGGGAGGGCTGTAGTGGGGGCTGGAGGGAGTGCCCCCAAGAATTGACTTCAACACAAGCCCAAGAACAGTTTCTTAGGACCGCCCCCTGTCCAAAAGTTTGTATACATGTATAAAAACCTGAGAGCGGAGGGAAGGTATGGAAAATTGGGGGCAATAGAATCAAGACTCAGCTAGCTGGATGCAGGGCAACAGCCTCCAAGTGCACCTACTGGGACCCATCTGGTCACCTCCCTTTCCAGCCTTCATGTCTGCAGCCATAGAAGAGCCTTTGGCAGTCTGGGGTTGGCCTTGGGTCTCTAACCCAAACAGCTGGGGCCGGGATTCAGGAAGTCTAATGCTTCTTGTGCCATCAGCCTTCCTAATGTCCCAGGCACCCAGGGCTGAGAGCTGCTGGCCCCCACTCTGCCAGACCTGCCTCCAGACCTTTGAGAAGTGGCTCTCAGGGCTGCACACCTGGGCCTTGCCTGCAGCCTGGACGGCCTCTGGTGCCACCCTTCAACCTGGTTTCTCACCATAGGTACTCCTTTGGGGGAGATTTTCATCTTCAACCTTTCTTCCCATTCCAGCCCTTCCCTTGGCCTGGGCCAGGGGAGACCGGTGTCAGCATCAAAGAGACCCTCTCTTCTCATTCTGGGCACCCAAGGCCCAGGAGGTGGCTCTGGCCTATCCCCCAGCCCCTAGATGGCTAGTTAATATAAACAAGGCAGGTGCAGGCTGGTGGTGGTCAGTCAGAGCCTATTGTGTGTCTGCCTGCCAGCAGGGAACACCCCCATAAGAGAGCTTGAAAGTTGTCTTCTCTCCAGAATGGAATGTGCTGGTATTCCCCTGTGCGCCATGGGCAGAGGATCAGGCCACTGAGCCCTGCTGTGGAAAAGGCTGCAATGAATTCCTGAGATCCAGGGGCTGGAGCGTGGGACCCTGTCCCAGCCTTGCTGCTTCTTGCTAGCCCTTTCTGGGTTCACCCAGAAAATGGGGAGACTCTCAGGGTTGGTGGCTGCAGTGGGCCCCAGCAGGTGTGGGGACCCTCTTGAGAGAACCATATACTCTCACAGAGCTGACCCCCATTGCTGTTGCCTGCTGGGCCTGTGGGCATTTGAGTTTGCCTCCTGGTTTGTGATAACGTGAGTGATCTAAGGAAGCCACAGCTCCTTCAACAGCCTTTGGCCCCGCCAGGTCTCTTGCCCTGAGGGTTTTGCACATATCCTGTGAGCACTTGGGGATCCCTGTGGCCTGGGAACTGCAGCCCTGAGCCAAGGCAGGTCACTCCTCTTCCATTTAGTGGCCATTGTGTCAGGGTCGTTGTCAGAGCTCCTAGACTTGGGGGAAGGTGGGGAAGGGAAAGCAATGAAGAAGGAAAGAGGAGTGAGTGCAGGTTTCATCCCAACCCCTCCTGTGTTTTTTCAGGAGATAAGACCACCATTTTGCCCCAGTGGTCTGCACACTTGGGAAGTGACTGCCTACGTGTCAGCTGGGCTGCAGATGAAACATCAGAATGTGGTGGCAATATCAGAATGTGGCAGAGAAGAGTGCCCCCAAATTGGGGGATTGGTCCTATAGGGACCCTGGCCCCCTTACACTACCTAGTTAGGATGCCTATAGGGAGCAACCCCAACAGCATGTCCTCAAGAGAGGATCTCTGGCTTGTGGGGCTTCTGCTCTGTGAGAGTCTTTCCTCTAACTCCCAACCTTGCTTTACAGCCAAGTTCACCTCATTAGATGGGCCCAATGGTGCTTTATATAATAAAGGTTGGACATATCCACTTCATAAGATCCCTGTTTTAAAGTCTTATTTTTGTAACTCTTGATCCGATACTTGGATCGGGCACACCCCACAGATGGAGTGGGGGCAGAGAGCGTAAATGTGAAACATTGATTAAAGATACCATGATCACATCTATTAATTTCTATCTTGAAAAACAGTAATTTCTGGCCGGTAGTATAAGGCACAGAGGAGGCCTGGCAGACCCACAATCACACTATATTACCCTTCCCTCGCAAAGCTAAATGTGTCCTTGTCACAGGCCATCACCACTTGGATCAGGGTCTCTACCAAGGCCCCTTGCAGCGGGGTGCGGTGGCTCACGCCTATAATCCCAGTACTTTGGGAGGCCGAGGTGAAAGGATTACCTGAGCCCGTGGGTTTGAGACCAGCCTGTAACTTGATGAGACCTCATCTCTACAATAAATAAAAAAATTAGCTGGGTGTGGTAGCACACACCTGTAGTTCCAGCTACTTGGAAGAATGAGGTGGAAGGATCACCTGAGCCCAGCAGGTCAGGGCTGTGGTGGCCATGAACGTGCCACTGCACTCCGGCCTGGGCGACAGTGAGACCCCAACTCAAAACAAAACAAAAAACTCCTTGCTCAGGAGCCTGTTCAAGGCCAGGATTGGATGACGGAGATGTGTCTTCCACCTCCCAAACTGAGCTCACCCTGGTGCCAGGGATTCTGTCATAAGACATTCCAGGAACAGACAGGTGTTGGTTCAAATTCAACAGTGATTTCGCCTTGCAGACAGGTGTGGTGTGAAAAGCAAGTGGTTCTCAGAAGGGCTGTCCAAGTTCCCTCAGGGGGCAGCCTACAACAGACCCTGGGTTCCCTAATCTATTCAGGCTTGCCAAACAGGCCCCAGAGTGACAGAGCACAGGGGAAGCTGGCAATTCTGTACCATTACAAAACTCCCAGAAGATGTGGAAACCTATAGATGAGGGGATGCGGTGGGGGGGTCCTCTACTGTCTACTGCACCTGTGCCCTCATTGGCTAACATATGTTCTTGAGTCCAAAGTTCTGGGCCTCAGTGTTGGAGTTTCAGGCACTTGGAATTTGGTTTTATTCTCCTCTGATAAAACATCAGCTCACTCAGTACTCTAGGACAACATTTTTATTCCCATTTCACAGATGAGAAAATCAGAGTGTGAAATGGATTCAAGCTAATACTTCTGACAAGTGGCAGGGCCTGGCTAAGACCAAGAAACCATTGGCTGAGAGCCAGCTTTCCCTGGGAACAGGGTAGGAGATGGAACTTCAGGGACAGGAGCCTGGCCTTGGCTTGGATGCAGGGAGGACAGGGGCTGCGGGTTTGCAGGGAAATAAGTTGGGGTGGAGAGGGGCAGAAGTGTGTGGCCACCAAGGTAGCTGAGTGTAAGGATAGAACCGCTGTTCCTGTAAGTGCCATTAGCTCTGTTTTATAGTGTGGGATTGATTTACCCAGTCACACAGGTGGTAGATGGCACAGTGGGAACTGCCACCCAGCCACAATGACAGTGCATTCCCCAGCTCAGTCTCAGGAGGTTGCTGAGTGGAAGGAGGGTGTGTTTAGCATTCTGGGGCCTGCATGGGATAGGAGGCCCAGCTGAAGCTTGAGAACAGAGCTGAGGTAGTCTGGTCTGGGCCCTCCCCACCCAAAGGCCCCAGAGCCCCAGTCTTTAATCCCATGGCCTTGCTTCTCTCCCAGGTTCTGGCTTTCCTGAGCTATTGTTCATTAGGGATGTGCGTAAGAGGCAAGTCCTGTTGTCAGAGGCCAGTGTAGTGATGTCAGGGTCACGAGGGCTCTTGGCCAAGGGAGGGTCATCAGGGCTCAGTGCCACCTGGCCACTTACCAGGATCCTAGGGTCTGGGATGGGGGAGCCTATAACCCAGCTAGAGCCAGGGGCCTCTGTTCTTCTTGGCAGGCCAAGACCACACTCATAGATCTCTAGCAGCCCCATCTGCCCACTGCCCACACAGTACTGCCCCAGCATTGCTGTAGACCCTGATGGTATCTCTCCTGCATAGGCTCCTGTAGTGTAGCTCTTTCTCCTCAGCTAGGAGAAGAGCATTCAAGCCCTCTCTTCTTAGGGACTTCAGGGCAGGCTCCAGTTCCCCAAGCGTGGTCCTGCCCCCCAGCAGGCTAGGGCCCCTAGCTTTACTGAAGGGGAGAGGGCCTCTTGTGCAAACCTCTTATGTCCCATGCCCCCCAGAGCTGAGATGAGGGAGCTGACCCCGCTGCAGTCACAGTGGGCTGTTGGGAAATCCAAGGAAGGGTCAGGGCTCCAGACTAGGAGCCAAGCTGACTGTTCTTGTTACCTACAGCTCTATTCATGGCCTCAACCAATGGCCCTGCCATGTGGGCACCTGACCAAGACTCGGGCCCTTCAGCACCAGTGTCACTAGGGCCAAGAGTACCACAATGCTGCCTTCTGCCATAGGGGAAGGAGGAATATCCCCATTGGTGGGGGAGATCTGCTGCCTGCTGGAATCTCTCAAGTCCTGTCCCCTTGCATTTCCCTGTGCAAGGGCAGGGGGAGCAGCATGAGACCCTTGCACAGGATGGAGATGGAGCCGTAGTTCTCAGGGGAAAGGGCATGGGAAGAACTGAGGAGTGGCATAGGTGGGAAAGGAACCTCCAGAACCTGGGCCTACTTCCTGCTGAGCTCCTTGGCCCGGCCAGTGGCGGCCTCTACAGCACTCATGGTGGCTGCTCGCAGCCCACCCTGCTCCAGAGCATGGAGCCCATAGATGGTAGTGCCGCCTGGGGTGCACACCTCCGTCCGCAGCTGGGCTGGGTGCCGCCCCTCGTGCAGCAGCATCTTGGCTGTCCCCTGGGGGAAAAGTATTAGGGGCTGAGAGTTCAGGGGGACGTGAGACAGCCCTCCTTAGTGTAGCCTGCCTCACTGTGCATCTCCCAACCTCGGCTCAGGCTTCTTAGGCCTGCTGCTTCCCTGCCCACTAGAAGTGGTACAAGCCTGGACTGTTCAGATGTTCCGCAGGGCCACCTTCACTCACCAGTAGCGTCTGGGCAGCAATGCGGTGGGCCAGGTCACTGGGCATGCCCATCTTGACAGCACCTTCAGCCAGGGCCTCAGAGAATGTACACACCTGTAGCAGCAGCATGGAGTGGAGGAAGTCAGAGCCAACACTTCCTTGGACATGGCACCAGCCTGAAGAGGGTCAGAACCTTCAGGAACAAGGCCCAGAGCACTGGCTATGGATGCCCAGGGCCAAGGCCTGAACGCAGAGGTCTGGAAAGGGGCTGGCCTCAAAGGTCCACCAAGGCAATGAATTTCTGGGGGACAGCAGAGTTCACAGAGACTGTCACAGGGCCAGCCTGTGAAGAGGGAGTAGGTGAGACACTCACGAAGGCCACACCGCTGCCACTAAGGCCAGTGTGGATGTCCACGTAGGCTTCAGGCACCTCCTCGCACCACCCACAGGCCTCCAGCAGGTTCTGCAGGAGCTTGGTCTCACTGCCCCTGGCATGACGGCCCCGTGCTATCACCATGGCTCCCTCCTGGACCACGCAGGGCAGGTTGGGTGAGACTCGCAGTACCCGTGTGTTTGGGGGCAGCAGCTAGCAGGAAAGAAGTCAAAATCAGGGAGCCTATGGGACTGGGCCCTGCTAGGCAGGCCCAGAGTAGGGGCCTCAGTACAAACACACCTCAGCCAGCTGCAGGCACCAGTCCCTGCTTCCCAGATACAATGGCCAAGGTGTTATCCTGAGGGCCACACACTATCCTGAAGGCCACTCACCTCCTCCAGGATGCTCAGAGAGACCCCAGCAGCCACAGACACCAAGATGTGCTCAGCAGTGACCACGTGGGCCACCTCTGTCAGAACAACAGGCAGGACATGGGGCTTGGTGGCAAAGATGACGAGTGAGCAGCTCTGTAGCACCTCCTTGTTCAAGTGGGTGGTCTGGCAACCCAGAGCCTGCACCAAGGATACCGGGACCAGGATCAGGACCCAGAGGCTGGGTGAGCAGGGCATCCTCCTACCATAGCCCTTCTTACTGGAGGTCACCCTTCCTTCCCATGGGTCTTAGAACCTCTCCCACTGCAAGTGTCAATGCCACTCCTCGCTCCAAGTGCCTGACTCAGCCAGACCTGACCTCCCTGATATTAGCACCTCTTTGAGGCCTCCATCCTCAGTGAATGCCCATGACCAGCACCTCAGCACACACACTCACACACATGCTTTGGCTCTAACCTTCTACACCTTACTCTCCTATTGGTGTCTAACCTCCCCTTCCCCAGCCCAGCCCAGCCCAGCCCAACCCATCTCCAGATGTCAGTTGTATTTCCTTGGCCCTGATAAGTGTCTCAGCAGAACAGGAGCCAAGAGGAGCTACCATGAGTTCCTGAGGGGAAGACCCATTTTATGGAGGATCTGGGCTCTTTGCTCACCCGGAAGTGGCAAAGGTTCCTGTCCGTTGGTGCACTGGCCAGCACGTGCTGAGCTTCTACTTTTCCTGGAAAGAAACACACAGAAACTGGTGAGGGGGTGGAGTAGGATGGGGGTAAGAGGAGAGGAAGGAGCTCACCTGGCCTCTCAGGCTCAGCCAAGCCTGGCTCATATCATACCTGGTCCCCTGCTGGCCTGAGGGTCTGCAGGAACCCAAAACGGATGCTCCATCCACCTGGGCTCAGGAATTCAGACCCATTGATTCTACTCGGCAGCCACTGCCCCTGCCTTCTGTTGGGCATTGAAGCCAAGAGCTTGCCTCATCCAACGAGGACACAGATCCCAGGGGCTTTGGCCTTCAGTGAAGGGAAGGCTATCCACAGTAGAGGCTTGTTGGCCAAGAGGCAATACCCCAGGGGGAATACCAGGCCTTGGTAGAAAGAATGGGGGGTAAGGCAGCTGACTGACCCCAGAAGGCCCAATGGAGGTCCAACTTCCTTGGGAGGGGGCAAATCTGTGCTGGGATGTCCAAGCAGAGACTAAATGCCCACTTGGTAGAAATCATCTGCTTTTGTGGGGTACAGTGGTGGGGAGATTGGGCTAGATTTCTGTAAGGTTGAACAGGAAGACAGAGGCATATATCACAATCTAAACATGGTCCACATGACAGTGACAGCCATACATACCAGTAGTGGGCTCAACACTAGATATGTATCTCTCATTTAACCTACACAGTCCTGAGAGGCAGGTGATACTGCCAGGTTTCACAGGTAAAACTCCTGAAACTTGCAGCAAGCAATTTTCTGATTGATAATGACTCCTCTAGACCTTGAAGTCTGGCTGAAGGCAGAGAGCCAAAAACCACCCAGCTCTCTCCACTGATAATCTGCACAGAGATTTCTTTTTGTTGTTGTTGTTGCTCAGCCTCAGTCACAAGAGGCTCTAAATTCTGTGGAGCAGTATAAGAGTAACATCAATATCCCCTACTGAGTATCAGTGGCTCTTAACAGGGGTTGTTTTGTCTGCCTCCTCTACCCCGACCCAGGGGACATTTGTCAAGATAATTTTGGCTGTCACAACTCGGCAGTGCTACTGGCATGCAGTGAGGAGGGGCCAGGTATCCTGAACACCCTATAAAGCAGGTGTCCATAGAGCCAAGGTATCTGATAGAGAAACCCTACTGCTCACTACGAGAAGAGCTGGCGCACAAATAGAAAACAACCAGAGGCCCAGAGAGGTCAGTCCGACCAAGGCCATGAGGTCAGGAAGTTGGCCATAGGAAGTGGCTATTGGAGCCACACATGTAACTGTATCGTCTAGTGTCCACATTAAAAAGGCAAGAAGAAACAGGCGTTTCCTCGGCTGCGCCCAGGGGAGCAGAGTCCCGAGGGGCAAGGTCCACGCCCGACCTGTCCCATGCTTGGTGGGAGGGCTGCCGGGGCGGCCCTGCTCAGCCCTGGGGACCCCGGCTGCCCCAATGTCCCGCGCAGGGGTTTCTCGTGCCTCCCAAATCAAGCCGAGGGCCAGCCCCGCGCCACCCCACCTGCCTGGATGAGGCCCTGAGCGATGGCCTGCGCCATGCGGCCCGCGCCCACGAAGCCCACGCGCAGTGGAAGCTGCCCGGCCGCATCCATCTCCGCACCAGGGAAGCCGAGCTAGCTGCCGGACCACAGGCCGTGTCTCTATCGGTAACCCTCGGCTACACCAATAGGCCCCCGCCTTCCGCCCCTTCCCTCCTCGATTGGCTGCCAGGATCCTACGCTCCTCCTCTGTTTTTTTCTGTCCGCATTCTACCGGCTCGAAAGGCAGTGGGTCCCGCCCCCTCGCTGCTCATTGGCCCGAAAAAGCTATTGGTGGAGGGAAGCCGATGGGCGGGGCTCCCGGGGAACAGGCCTACGTGAGTGGAGAGGCTTGGGTCCCGAACAGACTGGGCGGGGAGACGAGGGCGGAATTCTGGCAGCGCGTGTGTAAATCTGTTCTTTTTTTTGAGTCGCAGTTTCATTCTGTCGCCCAGGCTGGCAATCCTTCCACCTCAGCCTTCCAAGTAGCTGGAACCTGCCACCATGCCCAGCTACTTTTTTGCTTTATTGTAGAGACGAGGTCTCGCCAAGTTGCTCAGGCTGGTCTCGAAACCCTAGGCTCAGGCCATCCTCTCGCCTCTGTCTCCCAAAGTGCTGGGATTACAGCTGTGCGACACCGCGCCCGTCCAATGCCCGTTCTTGATTTGTCAAAGGTGAACTGTAGCAAAGAGTAGGGGACTGGTCCTAAGAGCATTGTTCCTGATTCGTCCCCCCCCCCCCCCAGCCCCCCAGAGGTGGGCGTCTCTCGTGGCGGCGTTGCAGGCCATCGATTGGTGGGCGTTGAGTCACTGAACTTCCGGAAGGAGCATCAACCCGAATTTTGGGCAAGTCCAGGCCAGGCCGGGTCCGGACTCGGGCTACGTCATCAGGACAGGCCTGCGACTGGGCTGTGGGAAGCAGCGTCCTCAGCGGCCCTGGCTCCCTCCCGGGTTGGTGGACTCAGGTAGGAGGACTGGGCTTGTGGTGGCCTCCTTAACCAGGCGTCCAGCTGTGACAGCATAAAATTAGCATAGCCCGTGAAGTTGTGAGCGACGGACCGTTCGTTGCTCTCTGTATGAAATTCCTCCAGTCAGTCCCAGACTCCAGTGGAGCCGCAGGAAGGAGGTATGAGGGGCTTATCTTTCTGAGGCCCAAGTCCCCAATGGAAACCTGGTACTCTCTGGTCCTGAGGGACATGAAGGGATTGACTGGAGGCAGGGGGCATCTCAGAGACTGAACGGAGAGTAGTTCTTGTAATTTTTAGTTGACAAGGAAAATAAAGCTTGGGCTGGCATGGCAGCTCACACCCATAATCCCAGCACTTTGGGAGGCTGAAGAGGGAGGATTGCTTGAGCCCAGGAATTCAACCAGAACAACATATCAGGATCCCACCTCTACAAAAAAAAATTTTTTTAATTAGCTGGGCATAGTGTTTCATGTCTGTAGTCCCAGCTACTCAGGAGGCTGAGGTAGGAGACTGGCCTGAACCCAGGAGGTTGAGGCTATGGTGAGTCATGATTGGACCACTGCACTCCAGCCTGGATGACAGACTGAGGCCCCAACTCATGGAGAGGGTAGAAAGCCACTGGGAGGCTGCTTTGGCCACTGCCGCCAGGAAATGTGGGAGGTATACACTTTGCACTGGCGTTTAGTGTCAGTAGCTATCTCTGCTGCTGCCCTCTGATCTTTCTGGCCCTTTTCCACATAGACTCCCTGGAATGAGTGCAGAGTCCCTACTCTCCTATGTACCCAGGGACAGTGATGGGTCAAGACCAAGGCTGTGGGAAAGTGAGAGGGGGCTGCGCCACTCAGCCCCATGTCATTATAAATAAGGACAAAACCCTTGACTGGATTGAAATGAAGTAAATAAGGACTGCCAGCTGACTGCCCAGAGCCATAGCAGGTAAGAGAAAGCCAAGGGGTCCAACACCCAGACAGTCCCTGGCTGCAGGCAGTTCAGTTTCTCTGCCAGGCCAGACCTCTGAGCATTGGCTAGGAGCACTCAGCCAACACCCCAACCAGCCATGGCTTGTCTAGGGGACCTCTCTGCTCTCGTGCTAGGCCCCCTTCCCACCATTCCTCACCTGGCTGATCCAAGATCCAACTCAGGTACCACCTTCTCCAGAAAGTCTTCTCTGAACTCCCACATGGGCAGACTTTATTCACAACAGGCTGATGCCAGGGGATACACTATGAAAGGGGCAGACCCACATCCTGGAGCTCCAAGTCCCATGGGGTCTGCGGGGCCTGGGGGCAAGGGTGGAGCTTCCAGACAAGTTAATAGGCAAGGCAGGGCACAATGGGTGCACAGAGAGAGGCAGAGGTACAGCCAGGAAAGTCTTTGGAGGAAAGACCACCTCACTGAGACCTAAAGATGGGGAGGCTTTGACCTGCAGGGAGCCAGTCTCTGGTAAGGTCTGAGGGTCAAATGCCTCAGCTTGCAGGAGACAAAGGAATAGTGACAGATGCAGTGAAAAGTCAGCTGGGTGTGGGGATATAGGATTGGTCTCAGTGCCTGGCATGGGGAAGACACACCAATACTGCCCAAATAAACAAAGAAATGAATGTGGCAGGCAGTCTGTGGTCAGAAGGTATTATGTGCATGAAGACAGCAAAGGATGCCTGGGAGAAAGGGGACCCTGGGAAGAAGTAGGCCTAGAGTCAGGGAAGGTGCCTGGGTCCTAGGGGTGGTGGTCCTCTAGGGGCTCTGGCCCGTGGGCTCCCTCCATGCCAGACACTGACAAATGCAGCTGGCAAGCAGGGGCTTTGGAACCCGGGGTCCTGGGCCATACCCTAGCATTACCCTGACTGGCTAGAGCACCTGTTGATAATCAGCCTTTCTGGACTTTGCTGTCTCCTCACTGGGAACGGAGGGGGCCAACGACGCATACCTTCCTGGTGGCTGGAGCTGACTTGCCTAGCAGGCACTTCCTGCATGGCACCCGTTTCTCTTCATGGGACAAGGTTGCCTCCTGAGCCAGGGTGATGAGGGGCCGTGCCTGGTCCAGCTCTCTGCTGGAGTCCTGGAGAAGTTTGAGCCTCCCCTAGATCCAGATGCATGCCCTCATTCAGCCTGTCCAACTCCAGACCAGCTGCTTTGCCCAAAGTCCTCAGGGCTGAGGCAGGGTGGCTCAGGTAAGTCCAGGTTACCCTGGCCTGCAAGTGGAGAGGCTGGGACTGGAGGAGAGGTGCCCTGCTCTGAACATCCTCATCCAGCTGATAGTTCAACACCTGCTACCTGCACACAATGTGCCTTCCCAAGTCTACAGCCTCTGCCCCCATTCTACCACAGGGACTCCCAGAAGTTCTCAGGGACTGAACAGCAAGCAAGAGAGCAGTGGGTTCCGGGGTGGACCAGACTGGGAAAGGCAGTGCCTGGGTGTAGGGGAAGGCTCACCACAGAGCTGCTGAGGCCAGGCCTGTAAAAATGCACTTTATTGGCTCCCAGGGAGTGAGAGAGCAGGATAAGAGTGGACACGATCAGGACTGGGGATGGGTGTGGCAGAGCAAAATGCTGAGCCTGCCCAGGCCTTGGTTTCCCTGAGGACAGATATGAACAAGGCCGCACTGGACAGCTGCCTGGAGTCTCAGAGTGGGGTGGAACATGGGCCCAGGTTGCTGGGCAGTGTCCTCAGCTCCTGGCAGGGTCTGAGGGTAGTAGCCAATGGGCTCTGTTAGCTGAGCACTCGCTGGCACTTGTCCCACCATCCGGCTTCACTTCCGGGCTTGCTCATAGTTGTCAGTGAACCAAGTACAGGTCTCCTTCACAGCTGCAAAAGTGAGCAAATGAGGGTCAGTGGGCAGGTGAGAGCCAGGGCCACAGATGCCCTCAGGAGGAGGGGCAGTGGGGAGGTCCCAGGAGCCAAGGGAAGTTACCCCCTCTAAACTTCAGTGTCTTGCCTCCTAGGTGGTACAGGCTCTGATGGGAAGTCTGGAGGGTGCCTCATCCCTACCTCATAATAGGGAACATGGGGTAGGGACACTGGCAGATGAAAGCCAAGGAGGGGCCAGGGCAGGCAGGTCTGGGCGTGGGCCGGTAGGGTGGTCACTAAGTGGAGGGCTGTTGAGGAACAGGGTCTCACCCTGCTTGAAGGGTGTGAAGCGGAAGTCGGGCAGGTAGGCACGCAGCTTGCTGTTACTGGCTGTCTTCTTAAACTGCCCATCTGACTTGGTTGTATCAAACTGGGCACCTTGTCAAGGCCACAATGAAAGAAGCACCTCCCTGCCCTCCCTTGAACCTCTGCCATTCCCCAGGGGAGTCTTGGAGGACAGAATAGCAGACACCCCTCCTCCTGCCGGGGTGAGCAGGGAGAGATGGTGCTCCTCCACACAGTATCCAACCTCACAGCTGTCTCCACACAGGGAGGCCACTACACCCACTGAGGGTCCCCAACCTGAGCCTCACTGCTGTGGCCAAAGGATACAGTAACTTCCCCATGGAAGTCCATGGCCTCCACCACTGCCTCAGCTGCCTCCTTGATAGAGACCTCATCTTCCTCACCCACTATAAGGAGCCAAGGGCCTAGTCGGGTCAGACCTGGGGGCAGGGGTGGCCGCCCAACCCCCATGACGATTCCTGCTCCCACCCCTCAGCCAAGACAGACATGGGCTCTACCTCACTGTGGAGTAAGGGGTTTTGGGGGGCTGTGTTTGAGGTGCCCACCTGAAAGGATGATGGGCTCCACCTCATTGTACTCCCGCAAGACCCAAATAAAGAGCTGGGCCAGGTCCTAGAGGCCAGAGAGGTAGAGTCAGAGACCACAAGATATGGCACATGGGGCCACAGGCCTCCTCTCCCAAACACCCCTGCCGGGGAATCCACACTGCTGTCCTTGTTCAGAGGGGGCACAGCCAGGCCTCAACCTGGGGACAGGGGATTCCTCCTTTGGACGGTCCTTTCTCCTGCAGAGCGCAAAGTTGCTGCCAGTGATGACAGCGGGAGCCTATGGAGACTGCAGGGACCAAGGACTACTCCTTTTGGGGCTTAGCCCAGGTTGCCATCTGGTCCCAGGCTCCCTCGTGTCACCACCTCCCCCACCGCCCAGTACGGACAGACCCAGGGCTCAGGAGCAGCTGTTCTGGGGGAAAGCTGTGCCCTCCTATACGAACCAGTGAGTATATGAACTGCCTCCGTGGCTTCCCTGTACCCCACACCATCAGGGCTGAGCTGCTGCCTGCAGATGTGGAGAGGAGCCAGGCGTCAGAAGGCACTGGGCCACTTCCTCCTAAGTTGAGCCCCAGGGACCCCATCAGGCAGGCAACCTGGGCAGGTATATGCTGGATGGCCTGGCACTCACTCTTGGCCAGGTGCACCTTGTGGATGAGGCCAGGCAGCACATGGCCGTCCTCGATGTTGAAGTTATCATGGGGCCCGAAGACGTTGGTGGGGATGACAGCAGTGAAGGTGCAGCCGTGCTGCTGGAAGTAGGCCCTGCGGAGGCACAGCGTCTCCTGCCCTCATACCGGGACCACCGATCCCACTCTACCCTGCCTCTGGACTCTTACCAGTGAAAAAACAAGAGGCCAGCCAGAGGACCCGAACTGGTTGCTCAGTCAGCCCCACCCACCCACGAAGCTAGAGCCCTCTCCCCCAACTCCTGACTAGGCCTCAACGGTGCAGGCGGGTGTGAGAACCTATTCTGCACATCGATCATCCTCTTGGCATATGAATATCCAAAATTGCTGCTGTGGGGTGGTCCGTTGTGAATCTGCACAAACAGGAGAACAGGGGTTACTTCCCGGCCCTGTCCACATAGCTTCCCAGCCCCGCCCACACAGCCAGGCCTCATCCCCTCACCATGGTCTCATCAATAGGATAGGTAGTTTTGTCAGGAAAGATACAAGTGGACAGGCAGGATACCACCTTGCAGGCGCCCACCTCAAAGGCCGAATGCAGAACATTGTCGTTGATGTGCACATTTTTTCTCTGCAGGGATAGGGTGAGGGTAAATTAGGATCCCCAGGCAGGACACCAGCCCTTCCTTCCTCTTCCAGGGACACACCCTGGCCCTTCAGGTATGGACAGTGCCTGAAGTCTGCTCATCCTAACTTCTCCTGGGACAAGGCAAAGTCTCCCAGCACTGACCTTACTGAAAGCACTGCTCCCCTATCCCCCACCAAGGCTGTGGGAGGGTCTGGCCTTGCCTTCCTGGGTGTGGAGAGAACCACAGCCCCTAGCTCAGGGCTAGGCCCCACCCAGGAGGCTGCTGAGGGCAGAGCTGGTAGTGGAGGACAGGGAAGGAGCCCAGGGGACTCAATGTGGCCTTGGGCTGGAGTGGGGTTCCCACTACATGGGGAGAAGGGCCCCTGTACTATCCCACCCTTGAGTAGCTCACACTTGGCTCTACTTCTTAGTACCCATGATGCCTTGGCCTGTCCTACCCCTCCTCAACCCTCACTTCCCCTTCCATAAACTGGACATGAGATGACCAGAACATTTGGATTAGTTGTGGGAGAAGGAAGAGGTGGTGGACAGGCAACCTGCTAGGAAGGCTGAGACAGAAACAAGGAGTCCCCTGAGAGGGTCCTTGGGCAGAATATAGTCTGAGCCTCTGCTGACTCCAGTGCCAAGGCTGCTGCCCAGAGACAGGTGAGCCAACCCTCTGGGCACAACCTGCAGAGACAGGGACCTTACAACATGCCCCTCCCTCCAAGGCACAAGCCACTGATATACAGAACCCTGTTCAACCCCTGAACCTTTGGGTGTATTGTGGGCCTGGCTCAGGGGAGTTGGGCCAGCACAATCCTGGGAGCCAGGGGCTTTGGAGAGCTCAGGACACAGGAACCAGTCCCAAATCACATCGCGAATACTGGCTTCTTTACTCTCAGAGGTGCAGGTCAGCTCCATGTTTTTTTTTCCTACTAGACAGAATGCTTCCAGGCCCGCCTGCACGCTCCTCTGCCAAAAGCAAGTATGAGTGACTGGGGGGCCCCTCAGGGGCTGCCCACAGCAGGTTGTGCCACACCCTGATCCCCATGGACTTCTTGGGACGGGAATGTGAATTTGTGAGAGTGGCAAGCCTGCCAGGAAGTTCCCAGAACCTGGGCTCCTGGCTCCCAGTGATTGCAAGGGCCCTCCTCACTTACCCAGAAGTCCAAATTGTACTTGATGTTCCGGAACAGACCCCCCACCATTGCAGCAAGATGAATGACGTGCGTGGGTCGGACCTTTTCAAACAGGGCTCGGGTCTGTGCCGCATCTCTGGGGGGAGCAGGGCTGTCAGGAGCCTCATGGCGACCTGAGGGAACTGGCATCCCAGGGTTGGGGCACAGTAGGCAGGTACTGGGTGAGGCCATGGCAGAAGGAGCAGCCAAAAGGAAAAGTGGCCCAGTAAAGTACCTAGCAGGTATGAGGGAGTGGGCTTCCTGGAAGGAACAGTGTTTGCCTTGGAGCACAGTCAAACACACCCAAGCCAGGCCAGCCACCTGGCAGGGAAGGCCCAGACACGTGGCTACTGCTAGGTTCAAGGAAAAGCCCAACTTGGAGCTTTATATTCTGAAGCGGGAATAGGGAGGAAGGGGCTGCTCTAAGGATGGGCTCACTCACGTGAGATCAGCATCCTTGGAGGAGACAAATACCCAGTCCTCTCCAGGAAGGCCAGCCCCATCTGCTATCACCTTCTGGATGGCTCTGCCCACCAGTCCAGAGCCCCCTGTCACTAGGATCCGCGTGGACCCCTGGGGCTCACCCATTTCGGCTGTACCTGTAGTGCCAAAGAGTATGAGGCTGAGGTTATCATGCTCCCATCTTCTAGAGTCTCACTTTCCTGAGGCAACTAACACAAGGTGAGGCCCCCAGGAAGAAGACATGGTCCACTGACAAACAGATCCAGTTGGACTGAGTCACCTCCTCCTAGCCCTGTTCCCCAGGAAGCCCTCTGCCTAGAGCTCCCCTGGGGCCTTGAGCTACCATCCAGCCCAGCACTGCTGGTTCCAACCCACGACACCCAATGGGCATTCTACACCCCTTCGGCTGACAAGATGGGAGGCAGACAACCTTAGAGCTCAGGAATCCTGGCGCAGATCGTTAGAGCTGCTCTCAGCCAAAGCCCATATGTTACAGACAAGCAAGAAGCGGCGCCTTTGGGCAGCCCTGTGCCCAACCGCGGCTGGCTGGTCCTGTAGAGCCCTCACGAGCCTGATTCCTCCTGGGTAGGTCGCTCCACTGGCCCAAAACTGGATAGGCCACGAGGCGCCGCTACCCTCGAGGACCCTCTCCTGCGAACTGGAAATCTGCCCGGGCTCCTCTACAACCGTTCTGCCCCCGCCATAGGGTCCCTACGGGAAGGGAACCTGTGCAGGCATCCCGCGTCTCCCAACCTAGCGAGCAGCTCAACCGGAGGCCCCGGGGAGGACTTCAGCGCGGTTGGGCTCTCTCCTACGTCCCTGGATCCCATACGACACCCCCCTCCCAGAGTTCCCGGGCTCTCACGGGGTGGCCGAGGCTCGCCACCCCGAGCCCCCGAGGGTCCCCTCAGTGTCAAGCGCCAACTCACCTGGGCCCGCCCCACCTGCCCTACGGCCGGATAGCTGCTTCCGGCGCCGGGTAAGTCTCCAGCCACCAGCGGCACCAGGTGGAGGAGGCGGGGCCGGGGCGGAGCCCTCCCGCAGCACTCTGGGAAATGAAGTCCTCGGGGGTGTCCCGACACGTCCCGGGCGCTTCTGGGAAATGGAGTCTGCGGCCACGCAGCAGCCTGGGAATGGCGTCTCCCGAACTAGGTCCCGGGCAGGTGGGTCCTAGGGGCGATCCCGGGACCGTGGCTTCTGACCGGGTCGGTGACCACGACCACCTTAACCAAGCTGGGCGCTGGGATGTGACCCTGCTGAGGACAATAGGCGAGCGGCAGAGGAGGAGAAAAGGGGCAGCGCACCACGGATGGCCCACGGCGTCGCAAGGGGTTTGCGCGGCCGGTTGAAGTTCCCGAGTTGCTGCGGCCGCAGGCAGTCACGCGGCCGGACTCCAGCCGCAAGGGAGGTATTTCTTGGGGGTTGCAGCAGCGGAGGGCGTGGACGCAACGGTAGCGGAGGAGTGGGCGCACTCTTGCCATCGGCGGCTTTGCCCACCCGGGAGTAGCTTGGGACCCCCGCCTTATCTGCCCTTAGGTGAATTGAGGGAGAGGGGCAGACCAAGACGCGGTGGGGAGCCCTGGAGAGGCGGCCTGGGGCTTGGTCACGGCAGCAGGGTTCCAGCAATGGGTCCATTCAATCACGCCACCAATAGGTGCTGAGCCAGACGGCCACGGTGGGCTGAGGATCGGGAAGAGGATGTAGATGATGGGCTCAGACAGGCTCCCGTCTGGGGCGCTCCCTCTGCACTCCCTGTCCCTTGTCTAAACATAAACTTTCCCAGGATTCTGCCCCTACATACACATGATCTCACTTCCTATTCTGACATGAATTCAGTCTATGTATAGGAGTCCCTGGATTATGAATGAACACAAGCACATACTCTTTGTCATTCTGCTGTACAGCTGAGGACGCTAAGGCTCAGACAGAAAATAACTCCAGAGTCACTTGGCCAGGGAACCAGGGCCGCAACCCTGGAATGAAGATGTCATTGTTACCAGATTATGGTGGGTGACGTGATCAGTCACTGTTAATGTCTCTCAGGGCTTCTGCTTCACTTTTCTCCTTCAAGGTTCCATCACTTCCTATTCATGCAATTCAGTGACTATCTGAACTGCGAACTGCTCCTACCCCTCTGACTTTCCATGAAGGGAATGTCCCCATGGCCAGGTGAGCAGCCTGCACTGCTGCAGAGAATTGTCTTCCCACCTCCGGAGGCTCATGACAGCCCTGCCCCTAAGTTCACTCTAGGTTTGCATGCTCTCCATTTAAATACAAGTATTTCAACCAGATAGATGCGGTGTTTTACGCCTGGAATCCCAGCATTTTGGGAGGCAGAGACAAGAGGATTGCCTGAACCCAGGGATTGGAGACCTGCCTGGGCAACTTGGTAAGACCTCATCTCTACCATAAATCAAATAATTATCTGGGCATAGTGGTGCATGCCTATTAGTTCCAGCTACTTGGAAGACTGAAACAGAAGGATCTCCTGAGATTAGCAGGTAGAGGCTGTGGTGTCTGTGAGTGTGGAAAAATTCTAGGAAAGGGAACTACATTTCAGTAAAATGTGCTCTGCCCTCCTACCCTGATTTTTATTATGAAAGTATGTTTCAGCTGGGCTCGGTGGCTCAGCCTGTAATCCCTCGCCTTTGGGAGGTTGAGGTGAGTGTATTGCCTGAGCCCGTGGGTTCGAGACCCGCCTGGGCAGTGAGACCTCATCTCTACAATAAATCAAAAAATCAGCCGGACGTGATAGCGCATGCCTGTAATTCTGGCTACTTGGAAGGCTGAGGCGGAAGGATCACCAGAGCCCAGCAGGTTGAGGCTGCGGTGGCTGGGAGTGGCCACTGCACTCCAGTCTGGGCGACAGAGTGAGACTACAACTTAAAAAAAAAAAAAAAGAAAAGAAAAGAAAGTGTGTTTCATAATGATAAAATATAAAATATCCATAAAGCTAAGCTTTTCATATGACTGGAAGTTAGCAAAATATCAGCGGTTACTGAATTAGTTATTACTGTACATGTCTGGATGCTCTAGGTATGTGTTGACATGTTGGTTAATAAAATAAATACATCATAATTTCTAAATCATTATATGTTCATTCCATAAAATTTAGACAATCTTTTTTCTTTTTTTTTTTGAGTTGGAGTCTCGAACTCTGTTGCCCAGACTGGAGTACAGTGGCCGCTCCCGGCCACCGCAGCCTCAACCTGCTGGACTCCGGCGATCCTTCCGCCTCAGCCTTCCAAGTAGCCAGAATTATAGGCACGCACTACCATGCCTGGCTAGTTTTTGATTTATTGTAGAGATGAGGTCTCACCAAGTTGCCCAGGCGAGTCGCGAACCCGCGGGCTCAGGCAATTCACTCATCTCAGCCTCCCAAGGCGCAGGATTACAGGCTGAGCCACCGAACCCAGCTGACAATCTTTCTTAAGTTACTGTACTTTTTTTTTTTGAGACAGGTCCAGCCATGTGGTCCAGTTGGGTCTCAAACTCCTGAGCAATCAATCTTGACAGCCTCCCAAAGTGCTGAGACTATAGGCATTGTGAAAGATAATAGATGATTTATTTTCATAAAATGGAAAGATGTCTGCTAACTAGGAAGCAGATGTGACCAAAAGCTTGGTAGAAAGGGAGATGTGATGATAGTCAAGTTGTCTTAGGAAAAAATAAAACTTAGAAATAAGGAAGCTGAAACCCTCCAATCAAATAGCAGCAAGTACTTATTTTAATCTTATTTGCGCCAAACTGCTTAGGCGATGTCCAGGAGAGATTGTGACCTCCTCATCCTCAATCACTGAGGAACCAGGGAAGGGACTTGCATACTAGAATATAAATTGCTGTTGTAATTGCTCTGGGTGTGCCTGCCCACCAGCTACCTGATCTTGCAAGACTGTCATTAAAGTCTTGCTTCTGCTGTTCCCCTCCTCTCTGTGTCCATCCTTTGATTTTGGATGGGTGAATTTGTTTCTCACAGTTTGGGGGCTCATCTGGGATACTCTGCATCTGTGGGAGGGGGACCCCAGTAGAGGAGGAGATACATCCCACCTGATTTTGGATGGCTTACTCTGCTTGGGCATCTCAACTGCTTGCAGGATTGCTGATAAGCCTGAGACTATTGTTCCAGAGGCACCAAAATTGACACAGGGAAAAAAAAAAAAGAAAACAGGCACTGCAGCAACCAGGCAATCTTGTGCTTGAGCCAAGGTAGGAAAAATTGGACTATAAGTATTGTCTTGGTGGTTGGGGCATTCTTGGAGGTTGAGTATGTGTGTGGTGTGTGACTGAAATGTATCAGATATGAAGTGAGTCCTGGTCCACGGTTCCATTCTCCCGTGAGGGAAATGGCCAGGCAGATGAAGTGAATCTTGGGGTGCACAAGAAATCTTTAATGGGGGGGTGGTTGAGTGGATAGGTAAACTCAGGCATGGATATCACTCCTAGTAAGTGGGGTTGAATATTCAAGTTAGCTGAGAATGGGGAATAAAAATTCTAGGAAAGGGAACCCAAGAAAGGGGGAGATAAAGTTTCTCCCTGTAACATTACCCTGGATAGTCTATTGGGGAAATGTTGAGGTCTTGTACCAGGAACAAGGGGAATTATCAGGAGGGCTGCAATGTCCATATGGAAACAGGAACACCCTACAGGGCTGGGCGTTGAGCCAGCCAAGCAAAAGTACCCAAATGTAAATCCTGGGTGGGACAATCATGATCAGGAGGATAGGACAAAAATGCAGAATCTGAGGGGGTTGATAATTCAGGGAATCAGAGAATCAGCTCCGAGGTCTCAGAATGTCTCTAAGACTTTTTGTTTTTGAGTTGGAGTCTCACTCTGTCACCCAGACTGGAGTGCCGTGGCGGCTCCCGGCCACCGCAGCCTCAACATGCTGGGCTCCGGCGATCCTTCCACCTCAGCCTTCGAAGTAGCTGGAACTACAGGCACGCGCTACCACGCCCAGCTAATTTTTTGATTTATTGTGGAGATGAGGTCTCGCCAAGTTGCCCAGGCGGGTCTCGAACCCACGAGCTCAGGCAATCCTCTCACCTCAGCCTCCCAAAGTGCTGGGATTACAGGCTGAGCCACTGAGCCCGGCTGTCTCTAAGGCTTTTGTAGCTCAACAAGAGAAGGAAAAAACTCCAATTGCCCATCAGAGACCTGGTAAGAACGAACCTGACAACACCCCAGGTGACTATTAGGATGCTGGAACACAAATTAATATATTAATAAACACAGGTGCCAACTGCTTGGTCCTGGTCATCCAAGTTGTAATTATAAATTTTATTTTATTTTTATTATTATTATTTTTTTTAGTTGGAGTCTCACTCTGTCGCCCAGACTGGAGTGCAGTGGCTACTCCTGGCCACCGCAGCCTCGACCCACTGGAATCTGGCAGTCCTTCCGCTTCAGCCTTCCAAGTAGCTGGAACTACAGGCGCATGCTACCACGTCCGGCTAATTTTTTGATTTATTGTAGAGATGAGGTCTCATCAAGTTGTCCAGGCAGGTCTTGAACCCGCGGGCTCAGGCAATCCACTCACCTCAGCCTCCCAAGGCACGGGATTACAGGCTGAACCACTGAGCCCAGCGGAATTATAAATTTTAGAGTCCAAGTAGTTAACTTGCAATTATGGGATTAAATAGAAGCTTCTAAACTCTATTTCTCTCTTTTCTGTCGGCTTTAAATTGCTA